AGGACATTTGCTTGGCTCCATACAAAAACGGACACTTGCTCGCCGGAGAGTCGCTCGCTATACCACGTGCTCGTTAAATATTTATGCATCGTTTCTCACATGTAAAAAAACTTTATCTAGTTGTTGTTAGCAATTTTTTAAGGGGGTGTGGGTGTCTATTCAAGAAAGAGAAACTCATCTACAGCCACAACCATGTTCTCATGCACACCCACACCCTCAAGGTGGTTTTTTTGTAGAGAGAATGTTGTAGAAATCATCTTTCTTTACGAAATAAACGTAAATAGTTGTCTTGACAATTTAGCAATCTTGATGAGTAGGTTTCTGTTTTATTTAAAGAGCTATAGATTTTTATAAGGAAATCAAAAGTTTGTTTACAACTGACAACAAAAAATCTCGTTGAAGCATGAGAAGACTATATATGCTCATATGTAAACTAATATATTAGTCACTCACTTCCCAGATGCTGATGTACACATAAGTAATGTTGTTAAACTTTTACCACTACCACCCTGAGATGTTATTCCATATTTAGAATCTCTCTTGATAATAATTTGTTTACGACCAGGATCATCTCCGAAACCTGATTTATCGACATTATAAATTGCTTCTGGTCGATTGAATAAATTTAATTTAGTCAACACTTTTTGTAAGCGTTCAAACCATCGATCTAAATCACAATAAATATAAATATTGAAAAAGATAAATTATATTTACCAACTACTAATTGAGTGCATGATAATGATCTAATACTTTCTAATTTATATGTTTCGACAAGCTTTATTTCTTCATACCATCGTGCTTGAAAAGAATAAAACCATTCACGTAATAATGAATCTTCTGTTATATGTTGTTTACCAAGTTCGATCATAAATATACGAGCAATAGAAATTAAATCCGATCTAGTTAATGGATGTTGCCATTCTTGATATTTATGAATAACATGGATCAAAACGTTTTCTTCTTCACCAGATAGAATTGTTGGCCTACCTAATTTGCCACCACCACGACGATTAGATAAACGAGCATAAAGAGTTGCACAAGAAATATGATAGTTAGTTGAAGCATCTTTAACAGTTAATTTTTTATCTTTGATAAGTGTTAGTGCTAATTCAAGATCATCAGTAGTATAACGAGATTCTTTTTTTTTTAATATATATACGAGGCATTTCAATAGAATTTTTATAAAAAATACATTTTCAACAATTAAATTTGTATATATATATATATATTTATTTATATTGCAAGTTTAAATTTAAATGACCAAAACACATTTTATACGCAGGAACGTTCATCTTTTTCATTCATTCTTTCAACAAAGCTTTTTATTCATATTCCATACGATGACTAGCGTTTCCTTTATTATATATTGTCGCTCCTCTACGAGTAAATGTTTGTCTTCAGTAAAAACACTTTTTCTATTGACACTATGAAAACGTTTTAATGAAATGATTTATTTTTATATTTTCCAGATGCGATAAAAATACTCTAAGATGATAGAGCTTGAAAAACTGAAGGATTTTCACTCGTCAATGAGTTTAAAACTAGGTTCACATCACATGAGAATTTAGTTTTATGATCCAGCTAAAAAGATTGAGATCATACATTTACCCGCCTGCCGCAATAGATTATACATTTACCCCAAATACAGCAAATTTTTACAAGATTTGTTTTTGGAGGTCTTTTCTCAGGCCTTACAAAACAATCAAGATCTTGACCTATAACTAACGAATTAGTTCAGGTCGATAGAGAAATCTTCGCGCTATCTATTGGTAAAAATATCATCAAAAAATATTGTAGTTAATGGTTAAAAGTTTCATTTTAGTAGTTACTACTAAAATAGCTGGGATTATACATTTACCTCATTGGGACAAGCTAGATTCTTTATTTCCCCCATCTGGGGTAAATGTAAAATTGAAAAACCGGCTTTCAAGAACTGCCTGCGGATACGTGCATTTAGAAGATTTTGAGAAATGGATTTGACCATTCGATAGAGGAAAGCTTTGGCTAAATACTTTGTAATGAAAATTTTTTGAAAAAATAAGAAATAAAAAAGTTATAACTAAAATAAGTGAACTCATTTTTTTGCTGATTAAATTTACCTCCACTTACTCTATTGTTTTAATTGGATGTATAATAATAGTTTATTTCATATAAAGAAAACAATGGAATATATGATATCCATTTTCTCATTGTTTACTGAAGGCAATCCTTATTGAACATATTTTGATATTTTTCTAATTCATATCTATATATTTTATTTTTTTTCTAGATTTTTTCACTATCGATAAAAGTATTACATATAATGGACGAAGAAAATATGGATTTATTTGAAAAACTATTGTTTGATAATCCTCTGCGTATAGGTAAAATTTTAAGAAAATAAATAATAAAAATTTTTATTTTTTTTTGTGTTAAAAATTAAAACTACTTCATGGATATGTGAAAATTAAAGTATTTTTTTTTTCTTTGATATTTTTTTGTCCATGGTGTGAAATGCTTATAATAAAACGATATGAAAAAGGTAGTAGTAACCTAAAAAACGCTTTTTTGATATGATCAGAATCAGACAAGAAGCCTAAGAAATCAGAATCAGGCAAGAAAATCAAAAAGGATAAGAATCCGGCAAGAAAGTAAGAGAACAAGAATCTGTCTGGAGAAGAATTTCTTGCCTCATCAGGCAAGATTCGGTCTACAAGAATCTTTAAGAAAGGCAAGATCAGTTTTTTCAGGCAAGAATCTTGCATGTAAGGAATGGAAAAAGAATCTTGTTAGAAAATCAAGAAAAACAAGAACCTGGAAAGAATAGGGCAAGATCGGCGACTGGTGAAATAATTGTTACGTGTCTAAAATATAAACAATTACAAGTTGATGATAATGAGGGTGTAGGTGAGAGATTAATATATCATTCACATTTTGCCGACAACCTTTATTGTCTGACATGGAATGTTTTTCAAGAAATTACTTGATTCAATAAGCAATGACAAATTCACGCCTTTCAATATACAAATGTACATTCTAAATAATAAAATTATGTTCTTTCTTTAATTTGAGAAAGAAAAACTGTTAATCAACATAAATGCTTTGAAACTTGTTTTGCTTTAGAAGAAAAGAAAATTATTTCAACAAGTTAGAATATACAACTTTACACGTGTAAAAAATTTCGTTTTCTAGCTCTTCTATACCGCATTAAGCGAGAGACAAGAACAAAATCACGAAGTTGTATTCTATATTCATATTTTCTATTATTATTGAACTTTAACGTATAGATGTAGATATGGAATACACTCTATATTGTAATTCACATTCATAAATGCTTCACTAGCGAGAGGTCACAGTTCGAGCCGATGAGTAATGAGCGTCTGATAGATTGTTTAAATGTGAATAATCTTGAGACTATGGGTATGGACTTAAGTATAATACTGCCACACCTATACTCACACTAAGTCAAACCGAGTCATACCCATACTCATAACTCTTTTTACATAAATATTTGAATTGGTTCGAATTTCATGTAATTTGTCGAGCATAGAAGCAATAAATATGTTATTGTTTGTTGTTATTAAAATTCAAATAGTTCTGATAAAAGAACCCATAAGAAGAAGCGTGATGAGTTTTAATTGAAATTATCATTAAAATATTGAAACTGAAACAAAAAAAAAGAGTCAATATTGAATTCTACTATTCTGAATCGGATCATTTTCACATTGTTGAAGAACAAATATGTCGCAACAGAGAATAAAAACAAATGGAATTACTGTAGTATACATCAAGCGGCTACATCGTCGTCGAAATAAATCTCAAAGAGAGGTACCTAGAAAATCGATTTAACGAAGTTCTTTCTCTAAATCTTTAAAATACCTGTGAGAATAATGAATGCAACAGGATATCTTTCATATTTAGGTCTAGCAACAAAGCAAATGTGTAACACATACGATAGTATAGAGAAATTGTTTTTTTGAAATAATTAGAGTAAGAGATATAAAAAAAATTGATGTATAAATATATTTATCTATACTAATTTGATATTTTTCATAGTAGAAGCATATACATATGATTTCTGTGTTAAACTATTTTTTCTTTCTTTCTAGATTGTCACCGATAATGCATCAGTTGGCAAAGCATCCGATTCTATTTCACTAACTGTTAATCAATCGCCTTCATTAAAAAGAAATGTTGTTCCAAAATTAAAAATGATTGATGAAACATGCGATGATGATTCTTCCTTGAAAAATACGAGTATTAGGTCATCAACAATGTCTTTTGATAATCTCTCTTCACTATTGGCAAAGACAACATCTGGTATCACTCAATTTGATTCATCCGGAACGGTTCCATCTGAAATGAATCATTCAAACATCAATCTGATTGATTGCTCAAAAGAATCAGTAGATACAAACAAGAATATACTCAAAAAAATGTTAATTTACACAAAATTCTCTAACAAGTCACAGAACAAAGTTTGTGGGACACAAGAAACAACGGATAATCATAGACGTCGTCGTCGAAAGCTTTGCTGTGTGTATTCACCATGTGCATGTTTGATATATTGTTTCGGTTTCTTGGTGCTTCTTGCTATATTAATTGGCTTACTTGTAAGTCTTCTCACAAGACAAACAACAGCAACAATCATGACAACTACAAGCAAGTTTAAAATAAAAATAAAATTTTTTTTATTTTAAATTCTTTCAAAAGGTACAACAACAACAGTAACAACGGGAACAACAACAACCACTAGTAAGATTTTTTTATTTAGTTGAGTTTATTATTCTAATTTGTTTATTATTTAGTATCGACAACCAGCACTACTTCAGTGACAAGTAAATTTTATATTTAAATAAAAATTCGGTCTTATCTATAATTTTCTCGCGTCATTCTGCATAGCATCTACGTCAACAAGTACTACATCATCGACTAGTGCATCAACTACATGTAAGTTTCTTTTTTCGTCAGATACCAGACAAAACTAATCATGTAAACTTTCTTTTTATTTTCGAATTGTAGCAACGACCAGTATTACTACAACGACTACGACAGGTAATTATGTCATATGTTTTCGTATTAAAGTGTACACCTTCTATTTTTTCTTACTAGTGACTACGCCTATTCCACCATGCTCACCAGTTTCCGTTGGTAATGCCAGTACTATCTTTACAGCAACCTCTATAAGTACATCCTCATATCAATGTGAAACTTTTCAATGGACATCACCTACTACAGGGATGGTCAGTCTTACTTTTCAATTTCGTCATGATCCGAGCACATGGTATCTTGATGATGTTTCGATATATCATGGAGCTGTACAAATGTTGACCAACGGTGGTTTTGAATCAGGCACTATGTCTCCATGGGTACGAACAACTCCGAATGGAGCTTGTAGTGGATGGCCAAGCCAAGTTAGTACTACTGTTCATAGTGTGTCACCTCATACTGGCACGTATTACTATATTGATGGAAGTTATGGATGTGCTGATCAAATTAGTCAGTCATTTATGGCTACAGCTGGTGAAATCTACATTGTTAGCTTTTGGTTACAATCTGGTTCTAGTGGTTCGGGTGTTAGTGTTTCTGTCACTCTCTAATAATCCATGCAAGTGCATACAATATTCAATAACTTAATCTGACTCGATTTATTTATCTTGTAATCGACTATTTCGAAACTTATTTCATTCCTAATATAAAAAAGATTTATATTGAGTATCATCTATTAGTATAAAGATCTTAGTCTATCGCTCGGCATTTATTGTACAGACCAAAGGTTTAATAGGATTTGTACATGACACGTATTCTCAAGTTTTCAATGAGCTTTAATTGATTATTTATCAAATAATTCCTACTCGATGATTAAGAGATATTATTTAAACTACCGTTTTAAGGGTGGGTGTGGGTGTGAGTGGGTAAGTGAATGTGACTGCGTGTGTGAATATTATACCCACACTCACCCACACCCGATCCAGAATATCGTTGTCAATCACTTATGAATCAAGCTCGATTTCATTCGAATCCATTAGCATTTGTTAAAAAAGTTATTGACATTTGAAGTAATTCACATGAAACTGTTACATTACATGTTGGCTGTATTATTCTCGGCTCATTGAAACTCCTTTGAAAAATCACATAAACATGAATGTTTCTTCATTTTTTATTTAGCTTAAATTGTAGTAACAAAAACCGCTTGTTGTAGTACAGAAATTAGTGTATGAGTGAGCATAAGTGAGATTCTTCAACATTCACATCCAAAAATATGCAATGATGTATTTTTAACTGAAGTGAAAATATTAAATTAAAAGAATAAACAATAAAAAAATTAATGTCGTAGAAACAAAATGGTGTGAGAGTGATGCACGTGGTAGTTTCAATGTCATTCTTTGTTTTTATCGAAACTCAAAAAAAAAAGAGAAAATAAAATACTTTTTTTTTAATTTATTCTTCAATGCCAATGTTTTGTCTATCCTATTGTGTCTAATAATGTAAGTTTTCATACGTATTCTCAAAGCAACATCGTTTATTAGCATCTGTAGCTTATATCTATCATGACGTAAACGCTGCAAGAATGATTGCATTAAAGAGTGAATCATTGATTTTATCAACAACAGAATACACAATGATATGAATCATTCAAACACGTAGCTGGGAAAAAACCCACGGATGAAAGTGGGTAAAATTGCATAATACTCTGCATATATAAACCGGTAATACGTGAAATCATGATAATATAAACACTTTCTTTTGATTTTTTTATTGCAAATATTGACAACAAGAATATAAATTCGTTTGGTTGGCATCAATGTCTCATAACAGGTAACTGAAAATTTATTTAAATATCTTTGTGATGAATACTAATTAGAAAGTTCATAAATATGTTTTTGTGAAAGATACAGCTTACTGAACGCAAAGTAGCATCAGTATTTGCATTATTGCAATAAGAAACGAGCACTCTCATAGTATCACTATTTTGAGATTTTTATTAGACAAGAAAAATATTCAATATTTGCCTTTTATTTTAGTTCAGAGCAGGCGATGATATCCCCAAATCTTGAGGATATCGAAAACTTCGATTTATGCTTCGATAACTTTGATTTATTCGCCGATATCAATGATCAAAGTCAGTAGAACACTATTATCTCATGAACAATATTGACTTTGGATCGATACCGATCCATAGAACAGCGAAGTTCATTTTAGTAAAAAGTTTATGATTTTCATTGTTTTTTTGTAGACAATAACGACCGCGTTTTGCTTTCTGACATTTCACCGTCAATTGATGATTTACATGATCAGCAAACAGATAGTACTATAGCTACTTCTCCGCAAGACGCTCCAATAAATCCAGATTGGGGTTTGTTCTTTACAATTATTGATAGAAACTGATATGTTGTTTTGTAGATTCCGAATTTGAGAAGTTACTTTCTTCTCTATCAGAGCTTGATCGTAACGAAACAGTGCAAACGTTAACGTTAGATGCAAACAATGATCAAAATATTATGGTTAAATCAACGGTAAAGCAGTCTAGTAAATATATTTTATTACTACTAAATTCTGTATTCTATGCTAGGATGTAGCAGATCCTCCGAATTTCTTAAATGATTCTCAACAACAATGGATTCATATTGAAGTAAACAATCCAATAGGTATACACACACAGCCAGAATCGAATTATCATGTGCGGTACGAAGCAGATAACAAACCATCATTGCGCTATACTAAAGCGATTGATAAAAAGCCTATTCAAATAAATGTGAGTGTACTTTTCAAATTCATTAACTTCTCTTATAATTTTTATGTTTATTTAAAACGTTAAGTTCTCACCTGACCTTTCTGGTTTTTGGAAGGATTGCCGGGAATATGGATCCATCCCTTGGTTGCGAATCACGCGTACAACTGTCCGCAATTCGAATGACATCTGTCGCCATCCATATCCAATATGGATGAAAAGTAGTGGTGCAAAAGTCTATGATGGTTCGATATATATCAGGATAACTGACGATGATATATTAAATGGATGTATCAAGTAAGTTATTCTTAAATATGATTATAAACTTTTTTCTGGCTTTAGAATCGAGAATTTAGGTATGATTATTATCAAACAAGATAAGCTTGCAACAATGAATAAATTTGCCATTTACAATCGATCACAGTCTGTATTCCTAGGTAAAGCAAATTAATTATCTGATTTTTTCAGGTCCTTAATTTTTATTATAATATAATAGAAAATTTTGATACAAATACTACAAATGCAAAAACTATAATTGACAAGTTTAGCCTTTGTCAATCGAAACTTTATTTTCAAATAATGGTGACAGATTCTAATAACATAGTGTATCCAACAGATTGTTGTTGTGAAACAAAAACAATGACACAATATACAGGTAAATTCTATCTTGCCCACCTTAACTATGTGAAGGTATGACATTATATGCTATTAATTTTGATTTCAAAGGAAATAATAGCAAGAAATTTAGTTCTGAAACGAATGAACAATCATCGTCTAAAAAACGTAAAAGAAATGAGGAACAAGAACCATTATTAACGGTATGTTTTTATTAATAATTAATCCTACAAAATAATTTTCTTATCTTATACAATATTTAGAGAAAACCAAAGAAAATCAAATCAAGCTCGAAACCATCTTCATCAATAAACAAATCAGGCCATACCTAATCTTTAAGAAATACAAATTGTTAACCAACATGCTCAATTTCATCACCATTCATTAATATTATAATCGAGAAATGTACAAATTACTAATAACTTCTACTTTATTTTAATTAATCTTGTTTCAACATACAATCAATATTTTTATTCTTTTTGAAATAAATACTTTTACTAACAAAAACCATTGTGAAGGAAAAGATGGGATAAAGTCGCTGAATTCTATCCGACTGTATCCCATCTTTTCCTCACAAAGACAAATTTTAATCAACAAAATAAATTTTACGTAAGTATTTATAATATGAAAAATTTTCGCTTGCCGGGAATATCTTTAATACGGTATTCACAGGGTCCTATTATTGTTTACAAGCGTAGGAGGCGTCCCTGAGCTACCGGTAGCCAACATAAAACTTATTTTATTTTGCAATATTTTTGAATTCTACAATGACAATTATATGGTCATTTTACTGTGATCTATCATCTTTGTCCCATCTTTTCCTCCACAAACAAATCAGGCCATACCTAACATTGAGAAATGCATCACATATCGTGTTGTATGAACATATGGCACTATATCATTCCAATCGCAAACGATATACTAATTGATTACCAAGACTTATATTGGCACTCAATGGCTGATAGATCACCTGAGGACTTCGATATGCTTTGGCATCAAGGAATTATATACAAATTATATAAATTACGCGGTCCAAATGAATATTCGTTTCGGTTAATAAACTATTTTACTTGTTGGTCATTGATCATCGATTATGATGGTTGCCGTTCGGTAAAATAAACATTTGACGTGGCGTACGACAAGGCAGTGTTTTGGAACCAATTACTTATGTCCTACCATTGTATCTAAGTCATCGGAAACAAATTGAAGATATTGAGCCATATAAGCGGCTCAAAATAAAAGAATAAGTCATCTGAGGTTATAATTTAGACTTTTTTTTGAGGTTCTTCTGTATATATTTGTACATATGTTACATTTTAGTTAATAAAATATAGATTTAGTTTATATTACACATTTAGTAATTATAAAAATTTACTATTGAAATAAGAAAAGAATACTCTACAGATGGGTGTAGGAGTAGATCTACCTACTGAGTTCATTCTCTCCCACCCACATCCTCAAGAGTGAAAAGTTACTTTTCCATCCAAAAATTTACCAAAGTTAAATTTTTACAAATATACAAGGTGGACCAAAAGACAGTTAACCGAAGAAAAAATTGAATATATCTCTTATGGTTCCAGCAAAGAATCTTTGTTAAGTATCATTGTTGAGTTTACCAAGAAAATTTTACTTTTTCATAGGGAGGGAAAAAACAATGTATAGGATCGTGCAAAAGTCACTTGATCAAAAAGGAACACTGAATATTTCGAGTACGGCTTGAGCAAATGGGCTGATCTTTTTATCTAGAATGGAGGAATGTTCATAGTGCAAATCTATACGGACAAGCCTAGTGAGAAGCTTTGGTAAATACATTGCTTCCTTCGTCTATCTGTGTAAAAGTAACATTTTAATGATACTTATCAAAGGTTCTTCCTAACCTTCTTCGGATGACTATAAAGCTTGAGTACGCCTCTATCAATGATAATAAAATCAGCTTCTTTACCTAAGCCATAAGGGAGATACGCAATTTTTTTGTTCGGTTAGCTGACTTTTGGTCTACCCTGTATATTTAAAAATCTTATGCATTCGCTTATTACAGTTGTTATGTCGATTCTGTTCTTTTGTAGTCCACGTTATTCTTTCTCGCTTTTTTTCTTTCAACAAGTAATTGCAACATAATGTGAAACCAAGGACAGAACAGACATCTACACATTTAATCGGAAGGAAAAATAGTAACACGTCATATAAACAACATATATTTCATCAACAATCTGCAATGGTAAATCAGCGTATCGCCAACTTCATTACGTTACCGGTAGAAATGGTCTATCGAATTCTCGATCATCAATCGGATTTTACACTTCTATGTTCAATGAGAAACGTGTGTCAACGATTCAACAGCATCTTAGACAGTTATCACCGATATCAGGTAAACTATTTGTCACTCAAATTAATTCATCAGTCATCGATCTCTCCCCCAAAACTTCATTTTTTTGTAATATAACAATATGAAAATAATATTCTGATAATCAAGAAAAATATCTTTTTTTCTTTCTTTTCAATCTCATCTACATATTCCACGCGTAGAAGCACGTGTAATGTTGTAAGCATACAATATTTGGAGAAGAACGAATAAAAAGAGAAAAAATACTGTTATTTATTTGCGATATCTCCGCCAAATGCTCTTTTAAGATCATGAGCGCCTATAGTTATAGGTGACGGTAGATGTGGGTGGAGAGAAGCTTAACCCACAACACTATTATAAACTAACTAGATTTTTTTTCCTGTTTCAAAAACGTTTACTAATTACAGCAACTGATATTCATATGCCCCTCCACCGAGTCATACCTCCACTTTTTCATCTAGATACTCACTACACTAGATCTCCCGACAAGTGAAATCGGAGATGTTCAAGCACAATATTTAGGTGATGCATTACAACACAATACAGTAACTCTCATTTTCTCTCTATCTATATCATGTTTTTACCGCCACGTTTCCATTTAGACACTCACCTCACTAAATCTCTGGTGGAATCAGATCGGATATGTTGGAGCACAACATTTGGCTTATGGGTTACAACACAATATGGTAATTCGTATATTCTCTGTATCTATATAATGTCTTCACTTGCGCTTTTTTAATTTAGACACTCTCCACACTAATTCTCGAATATAATAAAATCGGAGATGTTGGAGCACAATATTTGGCTGACGCATTACGTCACAATACAGTAATTCTCATTCTCTCTCTATACCATATATTTTTCTCCACTTCTTTTTTATCTAGACACTCACTGTACTAAATCTCTCGAGAAATCAAATCGGATATATTGGCGCACAACACTTGGGTGATGCATTACAACACAACGCAGTAGCTCTCATTCTCTCTATATCTATATCATGTCTTTATATCCAGTTCTTTATCTAGACGCTCACTACACTAGATCTCCAATATAATGAAATCAAAGATGTTGGAGCACAACATTTCGGTGAGGCATTACAGCACAACACAGTAATTCTCATTCTCTGTTTATCTGTGCGATATCTTTACTTCCACTTTTTTATCTTAGGCACTCACCACACTAAATCTGTGGTGGAATCAGATCGGAGATGTTGGATCAAAACATTTGGCTTACGGATTACAGCACAATATGATATTTCTTATACTCTGTATCTATATCATGTCTTCACTTGTACTTTTTCATACAGACACTCACCACACTCGATCTTCGAAATAATCAAATCGGAGATGTTGGAGCACAATATCTGACTGATGCATTACAACACAACACAGTAACTGCCATTCTCTTCTAATTTTTACCATGTTTTTACCTACAGTTTTTCACGTAGACACTCACTACACTAATTCTCCAATATAATGAAATCGGACATGTTGGAGCACAACATTTGAGTGATGCATTACAACGCAATACAGTAACTGTCACTGTCTCTTTATCTTTACCATGTCTCCACTTGTACCTTTTCATTTAGACACTCATCATGCTAGGTCTCCGAGATAATCACATCGGACCTGTTGGAACACAATATTTGGCTTATGGATTACAGCATAATAGGGTAATTTTTATACTCTCTGCATTTATACTATGTCTTCACTTGCACTTTTTCATATAGACACTTACCACACTCGATCTTCGAAATAATCAAATCGGAGATGTTGGAGCACAATATGTGGCTGATGCATTACAACACAACACAGTAATTCTCATTCTCTTTTTAACTTTACCTCTACTTCTCCATTTAGACACTCACTACACTAATTCTCTATGTGATTCAAATTAGAGAGGACTTCATACGTGAAATTAATAAATTTCTTGAACGAAATAAAATCGAAATAAAATCATAAGTGCTAATATTAAATATATTCTATGATAAATACATAACTAGTGATGATGATGCGTGTATTTTTGAGAGTGGGTGTGGTTGATAGCGCAATCAAAGAGAAAAAAGTGAATCATGGATTCTAGCGAAGTAGAACACATTTACGAAAATCGTTCAACTCTACAATCATTTCAACCAACGTACGAAGTAGATTCAGACTGATCTGAATAGTTCTCAGGATACGATAGCAGTGAAGTTCACTATGTCTGCCTTTCATTTTCTTTCAAGTTCTATTAGCTGATTGAAACTAATAATTGGAAAGGAAATCATTCGTTGAATAAATCCAATAAAATCCATTTTTTAAAATAAACGAGTGTGAATCACAAATTTTCTGTAAGACTATTTGTGAACATGACGAGTTCCTTTTTTTACAAACAGAATTAATTAATCCAATTGTTTTAAAAGAACGTGATCAAATGTCTATGAAAAACCAAAACATAAATAAACTCAATACTTTAAGAAAACGGTCATACACTTAATAATGGTAAAATAAAATGATAAATTCAGTTCGCCAAAAAACCTATTGAATGAATCTCCTTCTAACAAGTAAAACTATTTCTGAGCAAGATTTGTTATATATAATTTAAATCACAGCTGTATAATTATATCAATAGTGACGACGACTGGAAATTATTTATATACACAGAAAAATACAAAGGAGCAACATTCTTTTTTCTAAAATTTTCAAACAAGATTTATAACAAAAAGACAGTATGATATCAAAATAATTATGAGTAATATATTTATTTTCTTAATGAGAACTTTCTATAGTTTAAAAAACAAATTAGTAAGAAGAAGAAAATTATTAGTTGGATAAAATATTCTATTTTTTACATTTTAAATAAAATAAATTTAGTCTTTTACTAAGAATTTAACTTACCTATTACTCTCATTTACTAATTAATAAATAATTAATTACGAGCTACAAGGTGATCCTTTACAAGACGGACGAAACCATTGACATCGATGAGTAGTAGTATTATGTTTTGGTGCTGGTGCATCTACTGGATAAAGTCCAAGAATAACATGCCAGATATGTTCAAAAGTTCCTCCAAACCATTGAATACCATTTCCAAGTTGTTCATTTTCACGTGGTGTTGTACAATATGGTTCAAAATTAGCATGAAACAACGATAACCATTGTTCATATGTATAACGTTGAATACGTTCTTTCGTTACATAAAATTGAGCACAACAGAAACCTGAAATAACATTCTCGTCTTTTGGATTCTTATTTGTTGGATTTAATTGTAATTCAGCATTATAACCGAGTAAAGTCAATATACGCTTGGCACATTTATACATTAATGCAATATTATCATCAGGATCTCGAGGCCAATATGTCCATGGTCGATTATAAATCCATTCTCTATCATCGTTTACACTAGCAAAATGAACATCATCACGAATACATTGAGCCGATTGAATAGGATTATGACTAGTATGAACAAGAGGTCTTCCATGCATAAATAACATTTTATCAGGTAAATCATGATAATAATCATGAACAAATTGTAGAAAAACACCAGTTTCTTCATGAACATTCTTACAATATGGCCAATCATAAGGATATGTTGAGTTTGGATCAATACGTTGATAAAGATGAATATAATATGATCGTGGATTTACATT